CACCCCCGCAGGCTCTCACAGCACGAAGCAAACATCACAGTTTTACTTTGCATCTGTTAGTGTGATTTTTTTTTTGATCAATGTTTATACTCTCATTGGGTTTTTAAGTATGCATTTTTCAAAATTCATAGAATGATACACTGATTTGTGTGTTTTGTTGTATGTGAATTTCACCTTAAAATGATCAAAAACACATATTGAATTTTGGTTAAATGATATGCATGCTGAAGAGTTGAGGGGTAAAGTGTACCGAGGTCTGTATCTTGATTTGGGGGAGAGGGTATATATAGCTCAATGGTAGAGTGTGTACTTAGCATGCATAGGTCCTGGGTTCAACTCCCAGTACCTCCATTAAAAAAATTATAAATACGTAAACCTAATTACTCCCTCCTCCCCAAAAAACAGGTTGACATAGAGACAAGCAGACAGAGAGATATGATCAAGCATACACAGCCAAATGTTACTGTAGAATCTAGGTACTGGGTACGATGGGTAGTCATTGCATAATTCTTTCAACTTTTCTGTATTATTAAATGTTTTTCATAACAAAATGTTGGAGGGAAATTCAATGAGAGTAGGGACTATGAGTCCATTACATAAATAGAATTATTCCATGTACAGTTTATTTTATATGACTAATCATAGTGTTCTGTAATTTACTTCTACTTTTACTTGATACTATGCCATGGACATCTTTCCACAATGATAGACAGACAGACAGACAGATAGAGCTATGAGATAGAAAGACCTCATTCTTTTGAAGGTATCATGGACACACCATTATATATTTAACTATCACACTATTGATGAACATTTTGGCAATTTCCTTTTTTTTTTTTTCCTATTACCAATCATTTTCCAAGATACAGCTTTTGAGCTGCTGGATTTGAGCTTCCTTATGTTAGCTCTGTGTCCACCACAGCATGCACCTGCCCTCCACACACATGAATCCTCCTGTTAACCTCAGTATCCTCCATAGGCAAGAGTCCAGGAGTGTAAGAAAATAATAATAATAAAAAAGTCCCCCTTCAGACTTTCCAGTATAACTTTCTAAAAAGACTTGGCTCATACAAATTGTTACCACAAGCACATCTGAAGTCTCAGAAGGCAAGCAATATTAGCATTAATTAAGTACTTAATGAATATTTATTATAGCAGCACTTTGGAATCAGGGGAATCAAGTTTATAATGGAAAACGTTGCATTTGTGTTGTATATATACTTTTTTTGGTAACTACCTAGCTTTTATTTAATTTATTTTTTTATTGAACTATCGTCAGTTTACAACATTGTGTCAATTTCTGGCATACAGCATAATGCTTCAGCCATACATATACATACATATTGTGTATAGATTTTAGCAGGGACTTGCTGAGTGTATTTTATGAGCTCCACTTGTACTATCAGTCTGGACAGCACACACCTGCCCAATTTATATATTTGGAGCACAATGTTAATGCAAAAATCATTTGACAACCACAGGGGTTAAATTCTTGAAAAGTGTAAACCATAAAGGTTGGCAAAGCTGAAGTCAAAGGTTCAAGAAATCATAAAAAACAGACAGTGAAGGGTAAAGCTATAAAAATAAAATGAAATAACCAATGGATAATACACGCTCTGGAACAAATGCTCTGGAACAAAAGTGCAAGGGGACATCTATCTCCAAGTAAGCCAGACATGTCACAAGGCCCTGCCCTGCTGAGAGAATCCTTCCAGTAAGCACCCTCACATGTTCAGGAGAGCAAACGCTCCACACTTCTTTTTAAAGTTTCTGAAACATGGTTTACTTGTTTGGAACCCAACAGCCTTCACACTTGCTTTGTCCCTTGTTTCATATTCACAGGTCTTATTCAAACACTTGTGTCACTCCCTGGTCACTCCACAAATTACTGCAGTGCTTAAGAGCACGTTTTCCTGGACCAGATCTGATAGATGGGGCCTGGGGGAGGGGCGGTGTGAACAGATCACCCCACAGGTCCACCTGTTCCATCTGCGGAAGGAGGAGCAATTACTGCCGACGCATTCTTCCATTTAGGGCAGTGGATAATATATACCTCACAAGATTGCAAAACGGTAAAAAGTAGGCATTCAGATGTAAAACCACATTAATTTAAAACCGTGGCTGGCAGAATGAGAGTTGCGAAGGATTACTCTTAAGTTTTAAAGGCTTGTAGAGGTTTTTGTTATTCTAGTTTGCTTACACGACAGACTCTTGTTTTCATCTGTGATTTATTTGATGCCACATCCACAGTCTGGAACAGAACTCTCAATTATTATAACGGTTTCCATGGAAACACATGATCTATTCTCTCTCATTCCCTCGCTGTTCCCCAAAGACCCACTCTCCCACTTCTCTACCCACCCCCAACCCCAATCCTTTCCAGAAGACCCTCTGGGACAGCCATTCCTTAATCCCAAACTCTCCAATTTGTATGGTTGAGCGATCAAGAAAGGGACAAGCTACGTGTGGAGTCTGCTCACTTTTGAGGCAACAAGAATAAAAATGCATATTTATATGTTAAACCAGCAGAGAGAAACCGGAAAGATGCAAATTCAATTAACAAAACCGTTTAGATACAGAGAACAGTAGCAGCGAGGGGGGCACAGAAAGATGTGAACCTGGGTGGGAGCAAGACTTCTCAGTGTTTATCCTTTTAATATGATTTTAATTATGAACTATGTGAACACACTGCTTATTAAAAACATAACTTAATATTTTTTAAAACTCCCTGACAGCCTCAGCTTATTAGAACCTCTTCCTCATTTAAGCCTCTTTCTTCCTTGTCATCATGGAAACCACCTCATCTTAGAAATCCAAACGTCGCTAGTCTTACCAGCATTTTAAATCTCTTAACTCTATCCACTTGTTTTTCGTCCCTAGGCCTCTAGACTCCTCCTCTCCCACCCAGGTTATAACCCTCTTCCTGCTCTGATTTCCTTCCGACCCAGTCTGGGTGCAGTTTTTATGCATCTGTTCAGTGCACTTTCACTGAGCACCTGTTAGACAGAACAAGCGCCACTGGATGTGCAATCGGCATCCGTCTTCCCAGAATCCTTAGCCCCCTTCTTACTGTGATCTTCCGAGCACTGATCCTGCTACTCCCCACCCCTTACCTCGAATTCACCATCTTCTTCTCCATCTCTACCCCCAAGGCCGCTCAGAGCTGCTGACAAAAAACGCACCGTGCTGTGGACCTCTTCTATCCCCAACTGCTTGTTCTCTAACCTTACGGACCCTGGGGCTTCTCAGCAACCTTATTTCGTGTTCCTGCTCTCTATACACACCCCATGCCAAGGCCACCACCTCAGGTTCCTTATTCCATTGCAGCAGATGGACGGACCTTATGGTCCAGAGAGAAAAACCCATGCATTCAATTCTAAGCCCTGGGTGCATCAGTCCACAGGTACTGCAGGTACAGTGGCGAGCGTGGCAGAGAAGGCCACCTGCTCTTGTGGAGCTCAGGTCTTAGAAGGAGAAGAGAGACAAACCAATAGACAAGCAAGAAAAGTACCAACTGGCGACGGGTGCTGATGAAGAGAGTGAAATATAACAGAATGAATGAATGGCTCTTTGAGTGGTGGTCAGGGAAGACTTCTCAAAAGAGGTGACATCTAAGGAGAGATGGGAATTACAAGAAGGAGCCAGTCATGCAAAGAATAAAGGGAACAGCACCACAAAAGCTCTAAGAGAGGAAGGAGCTTTGTATATTTCAAAAACAAAAAACAAAAAACAAGAACCTCCACGTGGCCGGAGCACAGTGGGTGATGGGGAGAAAGAAAAGGAAGGAAGAGAACAAGGACCAGAATATAAAGAGTGATGTAAGCTGAGGACACAGAACAGAACTTTTTCAACCTGTGAAGTCACTGGAGGGTTTTAAGCAGCAGAGTGACTTGACCTAATGTAAGTTTTTAAAAATAACGATGGCTGCTCGAGGGAAGTATACGAATTATAGGTCAGAAGAGTGGAGGCAGGGAAACCAGTTAGGAACCTCTGCAGTGGTCCAGCCACTATTGTATTGGTTCAGATGTGGGCTGCATTAGTGAAGATGGAGAGAACGCAGTAAATTCATGATACACTTTGATGGAGGACCTGTCTGGACTCACCGATGGATGGAAATACGTGGCTGGGGTCAGGGGAGGCTGAGAAGTCACGGATAACGCCCAGATTTTTGACTTAAGCCACAGAGATGCGGAAGAAATGGATATTTTACGCACACCTGAGCTCGTGATAGGAGATTTATACGAGACCTGTCTGTGGCACACACAGGGATTAAAAGACTCAAAACAACACTAAACAAGTCAGGAATACTTAGAACCCGAGCTCAACATCAGTAAAACAGCATCTCCTGCTGTCTATAAAAGCATCCAGAATCACTCTTCGAGTCCCAGGGTCGTCCTTCAGCTGTGCTGCTGTTCAAAAAGAACCATTTCCATCCTCCGCTGCAAGAGTGATCTTTTCCAAAATCAAATCTGATCATGTCACTTCTCTGCTTAAGACTTTCAGTGGCTCCCCATTGCACTGTGAATAAAATCCAAACTCCTCAGCCCAGCTCAGAAGACTTTGCCTGATCGGGCCCTGCCTACCTCTGCAACCTCACATCCAACAAATTCCCCTCCGCACGTGACACTTGACTCCAACACCTCCTGCTAGTGCCTAGAATGGCCAAGCCCTTCCCCACCCCAGGACCTTTGCACTTGCTGTTCTCTCTGCTGGGAACAGTCTCTCTTAGCTCTTTGACTGTATAGCTGGTTCATTCTCATCCTTCAGATCTCGGTTGATATGCCACTTCCTCAGACAGTCTGAGTGGGTCCCTCCTTGATCTCTCTGTGTCACAGCACGCCATTCATTTCCTTCACAGTATTCATTACCAACTGTCAGGTGGCTCTGTTTACTTTGCGCTCTCTCCCTCACTGGAATGGAAGCCCCATCTGAACAGCAAATGTGCCTGCCTGGCGAGCTGTTCCTTCTGGAGCAGGCGCCACCCCCCAGCCACACTGTACCTTGCCAAAGCTGCCTTTCCCCAGCACCATCAGGAAGTTAAAATCGGTCAGTTTCATCCGGTCCCTGTTCCCATTGTTGTCAAATTTGGATACGGTGTTGGTCGTCTTTTCTTCGGGAGCCTTGGTCCCCTGCCCGATCTTGGCCCTCTGGAGGGGGAAGCACACAGAAAACATCATTAGAATTTGCTCAAATTCACAGACAGGTTGCAAGCCATGGTTCCTGCAGCTCACGCCACCGGCTCAGTGAAGAGCATGGCCCAACATCCAGGGTATAGACGCAAAATGTGGAGGCCACCCTTGGCACCCCCATTTCTCTTTTATCCCTCAGGTCTCACCCACCTCCAGGACTAGTCACTATTTCCTCCAACCTGTCTCTAGAATTCCTTCTTCTTCTTTCCACCTTCACCAGCACCACCTGTCATCACCTCTCACTTGGACAACCCACCCTGGTTCTCTCCACACTGGGCTTTACATGCAGCCAGAGTGACCTTCCACTTCTTAATACGCAACCAAGTCACTCCCTGCTCAAAATGCTTCCATTTTAAGGATAAAGACCTGGGTGCTTTCACTGGCCTCAACAGCCCAGTATGATCAAGCTCTACCTGACTGCATCACTTCTTGGGTCCTTCTTCCCTGGAACCCAGGTTCATGCTCCTTTCACATCCTTGAGCCCCCTCCCACCTCAGGGCCTTTGCACCTACTGTCACTGCTGTGGAGATAGCTATTCTCTCCCTTTCACCAATCTAGTTACCCTCTGCTCCACATTTTCACTTCTTCAGGGAAGCCTTCCTTGATTGTCTCTGGATTAGGTGTCCCTGTTTGCTCCCTTCCTCCATTTTACTTCCCATTTATACTGGATGATAATTGTCTGTTCACTCATTTTCCCCAACAGACTGGAAACCTGCCGAGGCAGGGAATGTGTCTCATTCTCCGCAATTTCCCTGACAACTAGCATAGCTGCCAGCTAAATGTTTTGTTGGATAAATGGATGGATGAGGCCCAGGTTTGTCCTCAGTGCAATGGGGGAGGGGCCTGCTGTTGTGAGCTCCAGAAGGATGACTCAGAATGGCAACAAATGCTGTGAAATCAGGAGAGACAGGAGGCCGGAATATTTGTGATTGGAGTCTGGAGTAGGGGGATGGCTGTCTTACAGGACTCAGCCCTTAACTTATGGGGTCTGCACTAACTCCGGGTAGCTAATGTCATAACTGAAGGACACCAAAATGGTGGTACAGAGAACTGGAGAATTTCTTGCTGTGGAAAATCTACATGTTTGGTGTCAGAAGCATTGTGAGGGTGTCAAGTTTTCCTTTACAGAGTATGTAGTCTTTTACATCTGGCTTCTTTCGCACATCATAATGGTCTTGAAATTCACCCATGGTGTTGCATGGATCAGTGGTTCATTCCTTTGTCCTGCTCAGTAGCATTCGCTGTTCACATTTATCCATTCTCCTGTTTATGGACATTTGTGTTGTCTCCACTTTTTGGCCACTAACAAGGCTGCTGTGAGCATTCTAGGTCCAGTTACCTTGTAGTAAGATGCATTGAGACTTAAGTGTCTCTGGGACAACCAAGGGGAAATTAATACCCAGTAAGCAGTTGTATATGTAGGTTTCGGGTTACAAATTGATGTAAAAACTGGAGACAGATTTGGGGTTAAGACCTAGAGGGAGTAGCTAAAACCAGGTCATCAGGGAGACTGCAAACAAGAAAAGAGCCTAGAAGAGATATTGCATTGATTTGAGGGGGCCATGTCCCCCCATCATCCCAAATCCTCACCCTCCAGCTCTCAGTTATTCCCAAGCTGTGCTGATCCAAACACATTCCCAACCTCCCTCACCCCCTACCATCCCCTTGCTTAATTATTGTCTTCCACCTTCTTTGAATCCTGACTCGGGACCCACTGGATTCACACACCCCAGTCTCCAACCTGTGAAGCTCCCCATCCTGATTGCCCCTGGTTTCCAGTCCCCATTCCAGCCCTGAGGTTCGCATCCATCCACCTGTCAGTTCCAGCACCCCCTGCTGGCGGAGCCTGAGTGAGGCACTCACACTTTCCAAATTTCTCATTTGACAGCTTAGAGGAAAATTTTCTTCCTGTTCTTCAAAGAGCAGCAAGTGGCCAACAGCCTCATTCCACAGTCTTGCAAACCACCTTCTCCCCTCTGAATCCAGGTCCAAAGGCCCTCTTTCCACATTCCATCTCAATTTGCTTGGGTGAGTTTTCTTACAGGTACGTGCTGTAGACCTAAAATGTCTGTGTCTCCGCAAGTCCACGAACTGACATCCTAATCTTCAAGGGTGATGGTATTAGGAGGTGGGGTCTTGGGGATTAGGTCATGAGGGCGGAGCCCTCACGGATGGGAATAGTCCCTTATAAAAGAGACCCCAGAGGGCCCCCAGCCCCTTTCACCATGTGAGGACACAGTGAGAAGGCGGCTGTCTATGAACCAGGAAGCAGAACGATTCTGCTGGCATCTTGCTCTTAGACGTTCCAACCTCCAGAACTGCGAGAAATAAATGTTAAACTATCTCGTCTACGGTATTTTTATTATAAGAGCCTGAACAGATTAAGACAGAATGTTATCTCAGCTTTTAGACATTAGATTAGAAGCCTAATAGCCTTATCAGCCTGGTCTGCACTAATATTTAAATTAGTTGACATCTGTTAAAAATTAAGAGATGTCCTATAAAAACCCAAATCCCAGCTTCTTTTAAAGAAGATCTGGTAACACTGGGCCCCACCCATAAGGCACGGTGCCTTCACAGGGACATCTCCAGTTTGCCCCCATCACCACCACACCTTGCTCTCTCACACCAGGCTTTTCCCCCTTCTTGTTATCTGTCCAGCTCCTAAAGACATTTGGGTTTGTGACTCGTTCACACAGAGCCCTTGGAGGACAAGATCCCTGTCCTGTGTCCCTCTGAATGTCCCATGACTCCCCCTCAGTCTCATGCTGATTAGGTCTTCCATCAAAGACATGTTTAAACTGAAGCCCACATTAAAAGGATCCTCTATCTCACTGGGTGGGATATGCCTTCAGAAACAGAAGTACACTAGTGGTGGCCTTTTCATGTCTGCAATTTAGAGCCTGAGGACTCAGCACTCAAAGAGAAAAGCAAAGAGAGCCGCGCATCTGAGCAAAGAGTCTTGCCTCTTTCCAGACGGTGCTTGGGGAGAGTGAAGGCACCTCTGCAGCCAGGCTCCAGGGCTCCATTTCAGATGATTAATGCCTGTGCTGGCTTAGACTGGACTTCTCTGTCACCCCCATCCCTACCAGGAGCTCCCAATACCCAGCAGCGGTGGCAGAGACCCCCCCCCATCGGTGAGGAGTCCCCACAGATGCTCCCGAACCCCCAAGCAGCCCTTCCAAAATCCCAGAAGGAGCAGGTCCTGAGCTTTATTGATTCCGAGGGTCAGGGGGGATGCTGATAATGATAACAACAACCTGACAGCTGAATGATAGGACGTGCCACACACTGTTTTAAATGCATTATCTCATTTGTTCCTCACACAACCGTAGGAGGTCAGAAGCGCCACCATACCTTCACTTTACAGATGGGGAATCAAAACTCAGAAAAAGTAAGTTGCCTTCAGCACCCAGCAAGGTAGGGACAGCGCTGGGATTCCAATCCAGGCAGGCTGGCTCTCGAACTACCCAAAGGAAGCAGGCTGCGTTGCACAGATGTGGCCCCAGGTATCCTGCCAAGACCCCTGGCCCCCTCCTCTCTACACCTGGGGCTGCTTACCGCTTCCACATGTGACTCTGCCTGCAGTCTCCTTTCCTGGTTGCAGGAGCAAGCACAGCCCACCAGCAGGGCAAGCTGAAGGTGCTGGCAGCTCGATTCCCCTGCAAGCAGCCCTCAGCCAGTGATGGAAGGAAGGCTGGTGGATAAGACGTCAGCTTCCCGCCCCTCTGACTGCAAACCCTGTGGCATGCATTAAACCCCACCTAAAGCAGAATTAAACCCCAGCTGCCCCCAGTGGTAACCTGCCTGATAATACACATTTTCCCAGCTCCCTTCCTTTTCCAGCATCACTTCTCCACTACTCTAAGAAAGATGCCTCCTGCGATCCCTGCACTTGAATCCTTATAGTCTGTTTCTGGGGAAACTCAAAGCAAGACAATGATCAGCTGTGGGATGTTAGAAAGTTGCTTAACCTCTCTGAGCCTCAGTTTCCTCCTCTGTAAAAGAGAAAGGCGGATCATAAGGGTACCTACCAGTCAGGGTGGTTGTGAGGACTGAATTAAATGAGTTAATATTTCTAAAGCACTTAAAACAATAAATGGCACATAGTTGGCATTTTATTAAATTAAAAAATTCTAAGATTGCCAGAAAACGCATTCTGAGCCATCCAAAATGGAGTCTTCCCTTCCCTGGCCCATCGGCAAGGCCACGGTCAGACAAAAGCCCCCAGACAGAGCCAATGCCAACATTCTGAAATGTACCACGTGTGGTAGCTTCACCAAGCTCACCCTACCATGAAATTCTATTACCTCAATTCCAGCAGCTCGACTTCACCGTCACTCAGAATTTCTCCGGATAAGAGGCTTGAAAGTAATTTCTGAGTCATTCTGGGTGCTAATTGGTGATTGCACAGGGATTACATTTCTCACGTTCAAGGTCAACTGAAATTCCTCTATGTGTCTGAGAACAATTTTCGGTCTCTTGGAAACATTTTTTTAATCAACAAACTACGGTAGGGAGCGATTACCATTCAGGCATAAACAAGCGTTTGCAGGCTCTTGCGGGAAATAAAGGGACACATTTTGTTGCCTGCAGATAAAACAGTCCTTTCCTTCAAGCCAATAACTGGCCCAGACAAATGCTCTGTTCGTGTAGGAAATGTTTTCCTGGGTGTTCTGAAATGTCACCCTGGCTGCCCTAAGACAGAAGAAATCATTATGCAAAACTGAGCCTTCATTTTATACAAGAAAACACTGGCCAGGTTTTTTTCACCCACAATCGTGCATTTTTAACTCAGCAGCAAACGGACACCACTCCATCAGAAAGTTGAGGAAAGGAGATGGAATGTTATTGGCAAGGCCTGCCCTCCTATCCTACTTTTTACCAAACAGTGTCCAGTTCTAGACTCTACTGGGAGAGAAGGTCCTCTCATCAACTCACCGGGGCTAGAATGGCTTTGTAAGGATAAGCCTCAGGGGTCAGGTTCACTGGAGAATGACTGATAAGCCCAAGGCCAACCTGTTTATTCCACTTGTTTCCAGGAAGGGAAGTCCCACCGAGTCAGAACCATCAACAGAGTCCAGGTTTTGTGGAGGGCCCAGGCTCAAGACAAGGGTCAGCACTCAAGTATGATTTCTGTCAAGTTGAGGGGCACACTGACATGGCTCTTTGAAAGAATGCCAAAACCCCTGCCAAGGCCAGCACAGTCCTTTTACTCTGACCCCCACCGACTTCCCAGCCTTACTGTGAACTCATCCTGTGCTCTCTGAGCTCTACCTACACTTCTGGCCTTCTTTCAGCTTCACATAGCTGCTTTATGACACCCCTACCACAGGGCCTTTGAACATGCTGTCTTCTCTGAATGGAATGCACTTTTACCCTCTTTACTTGGTTAACTTCCATTGTTGTTTCCTCAATGACTCAGACAAGGTTATATTTCCATCTTAGACCTCTCTCAAAGTACCATAGACCTCTCTTTCACCAAAATTTACCTAGTTGTATTTTGTCTTCATTTGCTTGTGTGATTACCTGATGAATAATGATGACAATAACCTTTTTTGTTTTAGCTATTTTATACATTTTTTCAGAGTTAGAAGGCCATCATTGATTATCTAGAATTGATGATTTCCCATCAGACTCAGTATATTGTTTGTGTGAACAAAATAATGTGTTTTCCTTTATGAAACCACTTTAAAATCATTCAATACACATATAATGAAAGAACTCAAAACCATTTTCCCCAAAACATTTTCTTTATAAAACTGGGATGTGTCTTACAAATCTGCTACTTACTCTCATATGCTGGAAAATGGGGTTTATTTGGTCCCACAGAAGGGAAGGGGCTTAACTGGAGTAGAAGCAGAGACAGCACAGTGGCTCAAGGTCAGAATCAAGGGCTCTTCATCTTTGGAAGATATACCCATGAGTATTTCATGGAGTCACCAGCACAGTCATAGATTCAAATCCAGACTCTACCTTCAGCAGGCCTAGATGACTCAGCTTCCAAAATATATCACCACTCCGTCCACTGCTTTCATTCAGCATTTACTAACTTTCTAGTCCAAGCCAGGTAGGCTGTGAATAAAGACTTTCAGGGAAATATCTAAATCTGAATGAGGACAGGGAGGCAAGAATGACTTCACAAGGCAGGGGACATTTACTTGGGGTCTTGAAGGATAAATAGGAGTTTTCTGGGAGCTAGAACAACACTGCAGAGGCACAGAGTCATGAAAGGCCTTGGGTGGAAACCACAGCATAAACAAGAAAAACAGTACAAAGGCAGACTCAACCGGTTCTCACTCTGGTGCATAAAGACAGACAATCTCACCTCAAATTTCTGCCGCAGTTCTTCATTGCCCTCCCCTCCTTCTGGGGGCACAGGTACATTGAAGTACTCGCCTTCCTCCTGGCTCAGCAACTTAAACCTAAAGAGAGGCAAGGGAAAGGCAAATTCCATGAGTACACTTAATACTATTTTGTCGATTAGGATAAGGGAGGGAGGTCTATAGCAAACTTCATTCTAAAAATGTGTTAGTGGGGAGGTTATAGCTCAAGTGGTAGAGGGCATGCTTAGCATGCACAAGGTCCTGGGTTCAATCCCCAGTACCTTTCCTGAAAATAAATAAACCTAATTAGCTCCTCCTGCCAAAAAAGAAATCAAAAAGGAAGAGGGATATTCCAAAGGCATTCAAGTCACTAGGGGGAAAAAAAGAATCTGAAATCCCTCACTCCCAGAGGCTTCCTAACCAAAATTCACAATTTTCATCAAGGTTTTTTTTCTCCATTCACAAATCTTCCTAAGCAGCTTCTAAAAATAGGAAGATAGGTGACTCAAAGCTGGGATGACTATTTGAGCCTGTACGCCTCCACATTTAATATTCAATGCTTGTCTTCCAAACTTCCACTGAGATCACCAAAAGAAATACAAAAATCAGAGAACATCTGTATCTTTGCTGGAAATCAATCAAGAAGGGTGCTATCCACACAGCAGTGACTTCCAGGAAGTTCCTCAAATTGAACTAATAGTAAGAGAACATGGAGCCATGTTCGGGAAAAGATAGCCACCGAAATCAGGATGCTATTAACATTAACTCCTCTTTTTTTAAATAAAGAAAGAGGAATGTTGAAGGGAGGAGAGTATATATGTGTGGGTGGGGAGGGCTATGTGTGAACTCTCTGCATTTTCTGCTTAATTCTGTTGTGAACCTGAAACTGCTCTAAAAGAGGAAAGTCTATGAAAAGAAAAAAAGAAATTCACTTTAAAAGGACACTTTCTATCTCCTCCTTGTAATGAAAGCCAGTATCACTTGTTACAGCAGAAAGTATGTAACTGTGAAAAATTAAGCATATGCAAATCAAAGTTACCCAAATCCAAGTAGGTAGCGTTGCTTACCAAAGGCTCTGAGACTAGCGCTTGCCCTCCTGGTTAAAATCAGAGATCAGCAAGCAGCAGGGTTAAAGAGGATTAAGGATCCACCCTCTTAGACTTCCTCTTTGCCATAACCTGAAGAACTGACGGCGCACTGACCAAAGAACAGCTTTGGGTGCAATTCAATATGGCTGATGCCCCAACCATGTACTATCTAAGCCATTTGGGGTCCTGCACTTTGGAAAATACACATCAGTGGGAATTGACCAGCTGTAATCATTCAATGGGAACCCCACTAACAACCTGGATCACACACCCAGGGACTGGATGAGTGTATTCAATTTTTGATCCATATTCAGGATGTATGGGACAGGTCAGCACCTGGGGCATGGGTCAGAGCACAGTGTTCCACCTCATGTTCGCCGTGGCCAGGATGCCTCTTCTACATTTAAGATGCACAAAACAAACAGGGGGCCCCTGCCACAGGGCAGTAGGGCTGCCTGTTACGCAGCTGTCTCCAGCAATAGCCCTCTCTTAAACTTCTACAGGACCAAGACCTCGATCCGACAAAGAAGAATTCCAAAAAATGCAAAAGGCTCCTTTCTCCCTTCATCTGGATTTGAAAGATTAGAACAGGGACACTAACATTTCTGTGTTCTCCCTTCTATAAGGGTGTACCCATGAAAAACTCATTCAAATAAAGAGAAGCACTGAGGAACCAATTAAGTACCACCCATGAAACAGAACTGTTCCCAAAAGAGAAAATTCGAGAAACTATCTAACACATTTTAGTGATATTCGAGAGACTGATGCATCTATGAAAGGCGAACAATCTGAGCTTAGGAAAGACTTTCAGAAGAAAAATAAATGACTGAATTTTAAAATTCACTGGTGACAATGAACACTAGGATGGATAATTGAGGAAACAATTAGTGAATTAGAGGATTTTTTTCTGGCAGTTGGTTTGATATTTATTACATTAATTAGAGACAAACAGAAAGCTTTATATGACACAAAGAAAAATGCGTATTACCAAAATTAACCTACAACATAGAAGAGAGGAATATTGCAACACAGATTTCAGCAAAGACATAGCGTTATCCTTCTTATATAAAAAGTTTTTCTAAACTAATAAGCACATTATAGGCAAGACACGGGACATAGTCAATTATAATTACAAAAAATGGTAATATACAAATAAAAACATTCAACATAATTAGTAACAGGTGTATACATAATAATATGTACAGTATAAAATAATAAAAGGGTGTTAATGCATATTATAGATGTATATTGTGTAAATAGGTATAATTAGTAACAAAATATGTACAACCTTTGCATCATCTTTGAAATTTCTAATACCAGATGTTGACAAGCGTGGGTGAAGTGAAAGTCTCACACAGCATTGGTGAGAATGCAAATTGATTGAAAAAAGTTCCAGAACATTATGGCAAACACTTTAATAATGCATATGTTCTCAAAGTCATTGATTCCAGGCTTAGGAATTTATTAAGAAATAAATTAAAGCCAGGCACAAAGGTTTCACTCTAAGTATGTTTACTATAGAATTATTTATATAGGTAAGCACTGTACATCTTATAAAAAGAATGTATAAGTTGATGCAGATCTGTAAGAAGGGACTATACGAAGCTATTAAACATGAGGTTGGCCAAGATTACTAAATGGCAGGGAAGAGGGTTCAAAATGCAGTTAGGTGGAAAATGCAGGCTGCCAAGCAGTACGGACAGCAAGACTTCGTTTTGGGCAAGGGGAGGTATAGCTCAGAGGTAGAGCGTATGCTTAGCTGCATGAGACCCTGGGTTCAATCCCCAGTACCTCCATCAAAATAATTAAGTAAATTAATAAACCTAATTATCTCCTCCCCAAACAAAAAATAAATTAAATATTTAAAAATTTTTCATTTTTTTTCCAGACACACATACACATACACACACAGACTGAGAAAAAAAATTCTAAATTTTAAACTGTCAATAGCTATTATCTCTGGACAATGGGATTCTGATAATCTTCTCTGTTTGCTTATTTATATTTTTCTAATAATTACTCAATTAATAATAATATCTAATACTGAGTGCTTAGTATTTACCAGACACTGAGCACTTCACTTATATTAATTAATATTATGACTTAATTACCACTATTATAGCCAAATGAGGAAAGAAGGCACAGAGAGGCAAAGTAACTTGCCCAAGGGCACACAGCTAGGAAGTGGTGGAACAGAAATTCTAACTCAGGATGTCTGATTCCAAAGACTTATTTTTGTGTTTATGTGATAAGAACAAAATGTCATTATTAGTAATACCAAAAGAAAGCTTAAAGACACATGATTTTAAGGAAACAAGGATTTAAGATAATTATTTGTCTGTTCAGAAGAAGAGGAAAAGATTAAATAGCAAAGAAATGAAACTTTAGAAATAGAAACACCATATACAAATGTGGCAATTAAGACCATATATGTTAAACATGTCCTTACGGGAAAAAGGAAAAGACTTTCTGAATGAGTTTGTTTTTGTTTTTAAATCCAACAACATGCACTTGCTACACAAACCCAGAGGACTTAGAAAGATTAAATAAACATGGAAGAATGGGCAAAGATTGACTAGGCAAGAGGTACCTACCACTCTGCAACCAAAAGAGACAGAGCTCCTCATTCCTTGGGTTCGCAGCTTCCTCAAGGCAGAAGACAAAGTCCTTACAAGGCCCACACTGGATCTGCCAACTAATCCTCATCCTGCCAGTCTTCATCCCTTGTGACTCCCCACCTTACTGATCCAGCTCCAGCCACACGGGCCACTTTACTGCTCCTCAGACTTGCCAGGAACACTCCTGCCTCAGGGCCTTTGCACTTGCTATTCTCTCTGTCTGGAATAATTTCTCCCTAGATCTCCACACAGTTCACTCCCTTACCTTCATCAGGTCCTCACCTTTTCAGTGAGTCCTTTCCTGAGTACTCTATTAAATCAGAACGCCACCACCTCCAGCATTCCCTGTCCCTGTTTCTCACTCACTTTTCTCTATAGCATTTATCAGCAAAGATTCTTGTCTGTTTTCAGCTCTCTAGGGTCTCCTCATCACACAGGTACTCACTGCGTATATTCCCTGAAGGAATGAGTGCATGCCAGCAACATAGAAAAGGCATGGGCAAAAAGCATGAACTGTGACAAATGTGAGTTTATATCAATTTAATAAGTCATTTTTGAAAACAGTCTTGAAGAGTTATATGGCCAATAATGACACCATACACACATACACACACACACACACACACACACACACACACGGCAAAAACATTAGAAAAGAAAAACTTTTTTTTTTACGTTACTGGGAGAACCGTAACAAGCAGTATACATTTAGGACAGATCAGGCAAACAAAAAGAAACTATGAAAGCATAAGAGAGCTGGACCTTACAGTAAGGTGGAATAAATAAAACGTTGAAATATATACCTTACAAATAGGATATATAATCTTTTTATTGAACTGTCCATGGAACATTTAGCAACATTGAGTGTACATTAAGCTAAACTAAAAAAAAAAAAAGGAAGGAAAAAGAAGAAAGGAAGAAAAAAGAGAGAGAGAGAAAGAAAGAAAGAAAGAAAGGGAAAGAAAGAAAGAAAGAAAGAAAGAAAGAAAGAAAGAAAGAAAGAAAGAAAGAAAGAAAGAAAGAAAGAAAGAAAG